CTTCCGTTTGCCCACCATGCTCAAAGCTGTCCTAGGGCCTGAGCCCTTTGGCTACTCACCACACCCCTCTATCCCACCACTGTAACCAAATACCTGGTGAAGAGTTCACTGGACTTTTTACTTGAAAGCAGTCAGTAATGGCAGGCACTTGCTACAAAATTGACAGGTTGGTTAAAATCCAAGATTTCCAAGAAAAATTTACATCAGAAATGCTAAAACAGTTCTTCTTCTTACTGACTTATTACATGGACCAGGGAGGATTTTACTGTTCAGTTCAGCAGTTAAACTCAGAGTGCCCCACATTCAGGTTATAATGCCATAGCCTTGTGGTTGGAAGAAAAAAAAAGTTTTGGCTAGGAACTATATTTTGTTTCCAAAACAATTAATTTCATTACTTTTTCTCCCGAGTGTGGCAGCCTAATTGCTGTGCTAATAAATACCTCTCCATCTCAGCCAGCCCCTAAGTGAGACAGTGCCTGCAGAAGAGGCTGGCAGAAACCCCTTGGAAGACAGCCAGTACTGTGGTCACTAGGGTGAGCCCAGCTCCAGCCAGGACATCTGGTCAACAGTCACAGAGCATGTGTTTGCTGTTACTAATGGAAGAGCTTGGTCATCCTCACATTTGGGAAATAGATTTCCAAGTCAGCTGGGGCAAAGAGAGGATCCAGACCTGATCCATGTTATCTCTAGCACCTGCGGTAGGCAATGACAGTAGTAAAGAAGATGCCGCTTTCCCTAACCAGCAACTTCTTGCCTTTCACTGCAAATTATTAGTAACAGGATAATCTATCTGAAAGTGCCAGCAAAGTTTCCTTTTGCATAAATTTCAGTATTTCCATTTGGGGTGATTTGGAGGAGTTTGTTTACTTCTTGAAGTAATACATGCCCAAAGCCACTGGCTTCTTTAACCCAGAGCACTGCCTCTGTTTATTCAGTGGTTTGTTTGTACCGTACCACGTGTCTCCATGCCAGGATATAAAGTACATATCTGCATCAGTTTGTCTTCTCGCTATACAGAACTCCAAAATACCAAACCTTTCCAGTGTTTCAGAGGTATTATGATTTTAGGGTACCAGTCTCCTGGCAAACTGGTGGGCTGTTGTTTTCTTCAGCATTTTTCAAGATAGTATTAGCCACAGAATATGTATATATATATATACAAAATGGCACTTGAATTCATGTTTCCTGTGGTTCTGATCCGACTCCTGGTTTAAATTCAGGTGCTGACCTTAGGTGTACGTACCACCAGTATTATATCTCAAGACTACACAAAAATGCTACAGTTAGTGGCAAAGCTGTGAGCTGCAAGAAATGTCCCTGCCTTTCAGGAACTGGTTTGTCACCACTGGTGAGGACAATGAAGATGAATGGATGCAATGAACAGCTACCCTGCAGTGTGGAGAACCGGCATTATTGCACCAAAGCCCTGCAGCTGCACTGGGTCGGTAACCAGGTTCCTGGGCAGCCATGTCAGGGCCTCCTGGGCAGCCATCTCAAGAGCTCCTGGGCAACCATGTCAGGAGCTCCTGGGTGGCCACATCGGGGCCTCCTGGGCAGCCATGTCAGGGGATCCTGGGAAGCAATCTCAGGGGCTCCTAAGCAGCCATCTCAGTCCCACCAAGCTGCCCAACAAGCCCCAGGCTCAGGGAAGAGTGCCCGGGAAGCACGAGAGGAAGCGAATCTGGTGTGAGCCCCTTTCTCCTGCAGAGAAGGCAATAAACAGCCATGTGCGTGATCTGCAGCTAGAGGGCAGGCTCATTTTCTTGTAAAACGGGAAACAGTTTGCCGCGGTTGCAGTGACTTTCAGAGCATTCAGCAGAAATTACTAAGCTGTAAATCACTCAGGGCAAAGTGGAGAAGTCTTCTGTATATTAATAAGGGGGGCAGGCAGGAAATCAACCCAAACACAGGAAAAAGAACAGCAGATACACAGCCTTCTGATTGCTTTGCAGCTCTGGTTTCCGCCAGCAGGGTCTGCTGCTGACAGCAGCCGCAGACTCACGTCCATGGTGGGAACGCTTCACAGCTGTGTCTCACTGCAATCCTCCATCGCATAAAATGTTCCATTGTTGTTTTTTGTGGCCATAGGACCTGGGAGTTGGTTGGTGGCAGTGAGCACAGCTGGAGCTGCTGTCCAGGACCAGGCTGTGTCCTGTGCCGCCATGTGTCCAACCAGGGCTCTGCTGGCACAGCAGCACTGGCTTTAGCACAGCATCATCAGATTCTCTTTGTCCTTTCTTAAAAGACCCGATGAAAAAAATTGGCTGTCAGAGTGCTGCCCTCTGCAGTGGGAACGTCCTTATTTAAGTGTATGGGAAACCGCCATACATTTAAGTGTATGGTATGACACCGCCTAGTATCAGTGCCGTCCTGCTGTTAATGCAATTATTGATGAGGCCAAATAACCCTAGAAGTGGCGCCTGAAAATTAACATCAGTGTAAATAATTCCAGGACTCAGATGGAACAAGCCTGTGGCAAAACACAAGTGCTTCTCCTGTTCCCAAACAGCCGTGTGCCAGGGGGCTTGCCAGGTATTGTGTCAGGAGAAGAGTTTCACACATGAGAGGTGAGAGAAGCATTGTAAAACTGCGTGCCAAGAAAGGTGGAAAAAAGCATCCTGAGCAGCCCAGGAGTGCAGCTGCTGGAGAAGCCCAGAGAGGTCCTTGGGGCTGTGCACTAGCGGAAAATAAATCGCAACACTGTGGAGAAAGATTTCTCAGCAACTTTAAATTTCCTTAAATATATTGGTAATACATTTTGACTTTTATCTAGTTTGCAGAAATGAGTCTGCAGCGTTTGTTTCCTAAAGCATTGCCCTGGATAGAGACGGACTTTGAACTGTGCTTGATATACCCTCTGCAATGATGGGCATGGATGGAGAGAGAGGCAGAGAGGTTTGCGTTTGCAGAAATGATAGGCAGTGTCAGCCTGGTTTGGAGAGGGAGATTTTGCCATGTTGGGTGTGAGGAAGATTTGACAGCTCCCAATGCATGCTTGTTGCCCTCCAAAAACTAGGCAGAATCTTAAAAGGCCAGCAGGTATTTGGAGGAGTTGCACGTGCAGCACAATGCACAGAACTGAAATGAAGTAGCCAAACTTTTTTTTAATAGTTACTGAGAAAAGAATTCCTATCACTGCAGTTCTTCCTATCTACAAGGGCCAAATCCTCATGGTTTGACACGGATATCTGATGCTGAAAGAACTGCTCATTTCAGTAGAGAAAGGCTTGGGAGAAATTTGGATAATGAGGATGCTGTTAGAAGCCTGGAGAACGTCTGGGAACACAGAAAGCCACAAGGAGTGCTGTTCACCAGCCTTTACCAAACCAGCTGGAAGGGAGAGGTGAAGGAGCATCAGCAGAAGGCAGGAAGATGGAGAGAGGTTTAAGCACAGGTGAGGCTGAAATGAGGAGGTGGAGCTGTGAGGACAGTACATTTATTTTTCCTGTTAACCAACCTGTAAATCAAGCCACAAACAGAATGGGAACATTTCATACTGAATTGTGCATATGAAAGAGACATGAAAGTGGAAGTAGTGCCACAGGATAAACTTCCTACCAGCAGCAAGCCATGACCTCAGATTTAACAGTGTCAAGGTAAATAGTTCTGATCCAAGCCCCTGACTGGCAAAGCAGGAAAATTACGCTAAATCGATGTTCATTGGACAAATTTTCCTTACTTACAAATATTCACCCAATGACAAATAGTAGGTATTTTTCTTTAATTGGGAAAAAATATAAACTAGACAGGAAGGCAGGGGTGGTGGTGTGAGCAGTCCCCACCATGTCCCTCGTGCCATCACCATCTTTGTATCAACAGCATCTTCTGCTCCTGCCTCTGCTCTTCCAGCGCACAGCCACTCAATGCTTTGTTTGAGCTCCAGGGCCCATACACTTCATGGAGAGCAGAGCTGCCTCTTGCTCAAGAGAGGAAATGCTGTGGTAGCTTCTTCCATTTCATGCATTTGCCAAAATCCTTCTTGCTTTGAAGCACCCTGCTCCATTACCTGTATCATTTCTGGTGCTGAAGTTTCTGTTGGACCTTCTCTGATTAATGATTAACTCCTTTCTACCAGAAATTCCTCTCCAACATAGAGAAACACCACCAAAAACTGTGCACCTGCATGCTTGTCTGTCTCATTTCTCCCTTTACTCCATCAGAGCTCCACAAAATATCATCCAGGGTAGATTCAAATCATTGTTAAAGGAGACTGAAAGCCTCCTGGTGCCTCCTACTTTAACCTTACTATGTGGCATTCCCTAACTACCTAGCCCCAGCCTCCCAGAAGCCAAACGTCCCTCAAAAAAAAAGTTAAGATGACAAGAAGACACTCAATTTTAGCAAACTTATCATTGATTATAACAACACAAACTAGTCCAGAGCCCTGGGTGGGATTATGCATGCACATCCATAAAAGAGGAATGAGAAAGAAAGCTGACAGAGCAATCGCTTTTATAACCCTCTCCCATATGGAATGAGGTCCTATGTGGTTTAGCAATTCGATGCTCAGAATTCCCCATAATACATTACAGAGTGCTGTTTCCCACAGAGGTGCAAGGGAGGATGCATGGATAGGTGAAGGAGCATACCCATGCTCTCCATAGTGCCTGTGTGACACAACCTGGCAGGGCACGAAAGAGGCTGCATCTGCCATCAGCTGAGAGGTTCCTGGTAATAGGAGGCAAAGAAGGAGCCAAATCCAGTTGAACCACAGTGTGCTCAGGCTTTTACAATGCACTTAAATCACAGCTCATTTTAACAAATCTCAGCTGTGCCCTTGCTGTGCATTGGTGCAGAACCAAGCTGTCCCAGTGCTGCCAGGAATGCCACTGCCAGGTCTCCCACTTCACTCATCTCCACTCCTCCATCACAGTGTGCACAGATTTCCACTATGGAAGGGAGCAGTGCTGGGCAGCAGGATCACATCCCTGTCTAGCAGGTTGTTAAGGCAGGAAGGTTTCCATTAAGTACGCAAGGGTGTTAATTTATAGCATGCTTACCTCTTCTCACCAAATACTCTTCTAGGTCACCTCTCTGCCTGCCTCTCACTGCCAGCTGCTGTCCTCCAGGTCGAGCAGCTGCTCAGCTACTTCGGAGGTCTGGAAAACAGAGACATGTATACATATATTAGATGGACTACAGACGGTGTAAATGGCTTCCAGCATTGCAAACACAAAAGCACGTTCCTCTGCCGAAACTGCTGTATGGACAACTGAAGGTAACTGTGCCCCAAGAGATTATCATTAATGGAGTCTGAATCCACCAATCCAAAGCTACTGCCCCATTCACAAATGCTGTGAATTTTTTTTTCCATCAAAAAGAATTTCTCAGAGTTGTACAACTTACGGTCTATTATTGCATCAAGGGAAATAAGACTAACTAGGAGCAGAATGAATAATAAATATATAGAGCACTGCTGATTTATTGTTTAAATAACATGCTATAGGAAGTTTCTACTAACTGCATCTGAGAGGTGAGGTCACTAGTTTCTAACAAAATAGTGCATAAACTAAACATATAGCAAACAGTGCTGCTAAAAATTATCGTATTTTCAGCAAGCATTGTGAGTATTCTCCAATAGAAGAATGGTTTCTTCATAACTCACTGGCCTTCATCAATTCAAGTCAGCTTCAAAATGCTTTTCAACGTCTTTAGTGTAGCTTCTGGTCATTATTATGAAGCTTTTAAGAAAAGATCATACCACTGAGCTCTGAGATCTGAATGAATCTTAGATCACAAATAGCCAAAGGACTGGGGCCTGCTTGTCACATGATGTCATTGTACTTGTTCCATGCAACTAAGGAGGCAACAAAGAATGAAGTCCACTGTTATCCAGGAAGATATATACAACCCACTGCTTTCATTCCGGTTTGTCAGGCAAGTGTAGATGTAGGTTATGGGTAACAAGCCTATTACAGCAGCTGTTGCAAGCCCAGGCTCAAGAGGAGATAAGTCAGCAGGAAATGCAAACAGAAACTAGACTACATATAATGATTGATCTCTTTTTTTGTATGACACATAGATTAACAAGCTCTCTAACTCCATAAAAATGCTCTCAGAGATGGCAAAACATAAGAAAATGTCAGTATGATTTGAATTGCTGTTATGTTTACAGTAGCCAGAAAGAATCCCCAAAACAAAAATAGAAAATCACTATATTTCTCTGGGTGAGAAAAGTGAAGTACAGTGGTATTTCTCATGAATTCCTATTTTAACTGCCAAATTTAAGCCAAAGAAGGGATTTTTGCCTAATAAGGAAATTCTTGAAAGCCTCAGATTATTACAGAAACTGTGAGTCTGCATTAACTGCTGATGGATACCAGTAGAAATCATTGCAACAGCAGCCCTTGTCCTTTTTTCTGTTGCACAGCCATCTCACATGTGCCTGGATAGAGAGTCATTTGTTCCTGGATCAGGGTGTCTCACTGGCACTGACACTGTTCTGTAAAATGAGGGCATTTTCTATAGGCAGCATTCTATTTCCATTTCCCTGGGCACAGTGACAGGGTCACTGAGACAAACTCAGAAGCTTCTGGGAATTCAGCAAGGTTGTGTGTGCTCACCTCCCGCTACCTGGAGACCTGCTCTGACATCGGATCCTGTCTCAGTGTTAACCATGGAGCTAGCCCATGGGGGTGACATGCTGTGACATTACTCACCTAGCTGGAAAGCTTCTTTGGTTTTACTCTTTACATATACATTCAACTGGAAATCTCTCATCAAGTAGAGCATGACGAGAAACAGTCATGATGAAAAAAACAGTTTTGTCCTTTGACAAGAAGCTTGAGTCCTCTGCAATGGAGAATGGGCAGTGGAAGTTGGCAGTTAGCAAAGCCTCTGAGCAAGGCTGTCTTCACTTTGGGTCGTTTGTTGCGTGGAGTAGCATCAGTGCAATGAACTGTTACACCACAGATAGCTAAGGGAATTACAAGCAGATGATAGCAGTGATAGTGCCTGGATGGCTGGTAAGGCCTAGCTGCATTTGACATGGTTGTGAACAATAGAGTTAGGCAATACAATAAAGAATTGGATTTGGGCCAGGCTACAGGAATACACAAAGCTGTGTCAGCTACTGTGTCACCTGAGATTTCAGAGACACATTCAAGTATGTAGTCTGAAGGGAGGGAGGAAAAACTACATCATCCTCATGAGAAAGATCACTAGAGAAGACCTTGAGATGTTCCCGTAAGGAGGAGAAGCAAAGCTCTGGAGACAGAAGCTGCAGTTCAGTGGTTGCCACATACATTTTTGGAATTGCACAGATGTATTGACCATTGTCTATGTCATGCAGAAAGGATGTGTCAATTTCTGCATGTCACTGATGCAACTCTAGTTTCTAAATTAACTCTTTTCCTCCCTACCCTTCTCATTAGTGACAGCCCACCTGCAGATCCCTAAAGACAAGATGCAGTGTACTGCTTTCTATCTTCAACATGGAAAACTAAGCAGCAGGTGACTCTCTCACAGTCTTGAGCCCAGTAGAAATTGCTTCCACTGGTTGCCCGAGTTCTGTTGTTGCTACTGAAAGGCTTGACCTTGCCAGAAAACCATACAGAATTGATGTGCTCATGAGATGAGGACACTACATGACAGAACTGTGCTTTATAGGTGAAAGAAAATAGTTAAGAAAAGTTTTCTGACTATGCTCCTTCTTGAGAAATGATTAGATCTAGAAGACCACTCATTCCTTCTGAAGTTCCTTCTGTTACAGACTGTGTTAGCTCTCTTAATTCCCATTAAGCAAAAGGGAACAGTGCGGTTCTGGCCTCTCAGAAAGGTTAACAAAGTAGTGCAAAATGTTCAGAGAAGACTAATAGGCGTAGCCCAATTGCTGTGCAAGGAGTAGTGCAGGAGAGTGGGGCTTCTCAAGCTGAAAAAGAGATGAGATGAGGATACTGCAAAAAGAAATTATAAAATCATTAATACACAGAGTGGATAGGGATTGATTGTTCATTGTATCTCCAGGACAAGAATGAGGGACCTGCTAGTGCAGGTAGGAGCCAAATCCAAAGCAACCAAAAGGACAAAAGCAACCTGGTCATGCAGCAGGCAGTAGTCCAGCCAAGGAATCTCCTCAATCTGAGACTGATCACAAGGAGCGCAATCCCTCAGATGTTTGGAGGGATTCATGACACAAAGAGACCACAGCAGGTTCTGGAAAGCCTCTGAGCTGGAAATAGCTAGAAGCTGCTGTAGTGTTATGGGAAAAATGATGGATTTGTTCTGAATTTTTCCTAGGTGTCTGTTTATGGCCAGTATTGGAAGCAGAACAGATGGTCTAATCCAGCACAGTGTTCTTGCCTGGAGCAAGAACAGGGAAGGTAGGAGTCAAGTAAAGAAAGAGATCCCAAAGAGAGCAAGGGTGCAGGATGAAGCAAAGCAGGAGGTGAGGTTGAGTGAAACTGGTATAGCTAGACTGCAGTCCAAAGGTGTAGATAAGGAGGCAGAAGAAAAGTTGCAGTTTCAGCTCCATCCATGCTCAGGCTGAGCCCAGACATGCCCCACTATCATCAGGAGCAAAGCTTTCCACTGATTCCAGCAGATCAAGCCCTAAAGACATAAAGGCAAGCAGACAAATGAGGAGTTTCAGGGTCAAAGAATATTTCCAGAATATCAGGAGATGCAGCACAGTTGAGTCCATACAGGCAGAATTTGCAATTTATCTGTGTTTTTTATCTGCCAGATCCAAATGGTTTCATTCCTGGTAAGATCCAAGTAAAATTGGGATTTACAGATACTCTTTTGCAGAGTCTGCAAGATCCTAAATAAGATCTACTCTGTAGGCATTGCCCACAGCACAGTTATTTTTTAAATCTTTTCAGTGGGTACTTAGAAATAAGCAGTGCTGCCTCTGCTTCACTCCAAATGTGATATAATCCAGTAGCAAGAAGTTACAGTTTTGGCCTCAAGGCGAGGTGCAAAGCCCCCAGAAGGCCTTATGGGTATGCAGGTTTAAGAAATATGGCCACAGAATGTTCCTTCTGCATGGGAGGAGCCGCTAGTTATTAGTTACCCAAAAACACTGACTACTGCATTAATGAACAAAATAAATATTTTTCTTTCCAGAACGGAAGAATGTTCCACATTCCAGTGGACATTCCTAAATATCACAATTCATTCCATCCAGACAACAATCATTTTGGGTAATAACCTTGAAATTAGCCTTTCCTGTTGTGCGCTTCTGCTTTTCTTTAGGACTGGTCTTTGTTTTGTGACTGACACACACAGTTTCTCAATAAATGAATCGGTATTTTCAGAGAAGAATCTCTTTCAGCTGAAGTACACAGAATCTGTTGGACTGCAGAAAACAAAAGCATTTTAAGAAGCTGATCTGATTTACTGGTGAAACTCAAAATGTGCCAGATTGCTCTGCAGACATGGCACAGTCTCTGACCTACACCAAGGCTGGAAATTGTTCCAGGCTGTGATGTGCCGTGTCTGTTCACGTCAGCTGTGCACTGGGAAATGCAAAAGGAAATGGCTTGCTGAAAAATCTCCTTCAGCTTAGGAATGGAAGAGATTCCTGTAAAACATATTATTTGGAATGATTTGGCTTCTCAGACACAGGGAAGAGTGATGTCATTTCTCACAGAATTTATTAAGATTTCTCAGTTTTCTTCCAGTGTGCTGGAAGATTTAGGTTGGAAATTAGGAAAAAATTATTCTCTGGAAGAGTGGTGAGGCACTGGCATAGGCTGCCCGGGGAGGTGGTGGATTCATCATCGCTGGAGGTGTTCAAGAAAAGGGTTGATGAGGAACTGAGGAACTTGATGTGGAACACTGAAGAACATGGTCCAGAGTGATCACAGGCATGAGTTAATGGCTGGACTAGATGATCTTAGTAGTCTTTCCATCCCTAATGATTCTGTGATTCTATGATTTCCACACCTCAGGTCATTCTGGCTTGTGTATAGATGCCAAAGTGTCATATGAAGAGGTCTCATCAGAATCCTTGCATGGGATGTGCCAGCACTCTATCTTCTAGTTGCAAGGACAGGAGGAGAAGCATTTCTGCATTTCTCTTGGTTCTTCTTGCTTCATTTCTTGCTCTTGAGACCCTTTTGGGGGGATTTAAGTAGGCAGTTTATATAGGTAAATTCTTAATGTAGTTTTCACCCCCCCTGCTTCTCACTCCCATTAATCAGAGTGTGGAAGCAGCATTCTGCTCAGCCTTGAGACCTTCAGATTCCAGAGAAAATGTCCGACACTAAATTACTTCCCTTCTAGCAAAAATGAGTGGGTGGAAACAAGAAGCTGGTGACACGTGACCAGCTTGGCACTGTCCATTAATAGCTGTGACCTTTGTGACTAATGCAGCACTGGGAGGCATTGGGAAGGTGCCCTAAATCCATCCCTCTGGTGCAGTTGTCATCCTTATCTCATCGCCCAACTGAGTGGGAAGCTGCAGTTCCCAAGCCTGCCAATTCCTGCACAACACACAAAACTCTGGGCTGTGTTTGCTGACCACTGACGCCTTCGACAGAGGATGGGTTTTGCAGTCTAGCTGAATGTGGGCTCTGCAGTCTGCTTTGAGGCTTAGCCCCATCCCTTAAGGTAAAGACCGTTCCAAAATCGTCCAGTGGCTGTGTGCCACCACTAGGTGCAGGATGCGGTCACAGATCCCATTTAAAGCAATGGACCAGCAGACACAGGCGGAGCATTTAGAATCCTACAGACATGGAAATTAGTTGACAATGGAAGATCTTACCTCGGGTTTCAAAACATATGGTCAGCCAACACTGCATCCTGATCAGGGAAATTTGCCTGGAATTGCTGAGTTGCAGATGCAGGATCTGGAGCATGGGCCGACATACAAAATAGAGGAGGACACACAAGCAAAGAGAAGCGAACAAGGAGACAGAGCTTCACCCTGAGTCCTGAACTTTCACATAACACCTGTGAGCCAGGGAAATCCCCACAGGCTGGTGTGCAGTGAGCGCTTCCTGCTGCGCCAGGCTTGGGCAGCACTGAGAGGGGAAACTGCAGTGGAGGTGGGAGGGAATGGACCCCATAACTCCTACTGCCCTGCAGTGGGTTGCCCTGATTCTATTTGCTTACGGTGAATTCACCGCCTTTCATTTACTTATGGTTGCTATGCTGTGAATTTCCCTGTCTCTTATTCAGCTTTGCAAATGCTGTCCCTTTGAAAGGACTGTCATTTGATTAAAGGATGCAAACCTATGGAAAGTTATGTGTGAAAGGCGTACAAAAAGCAGCGCCACCAATCACAAGAGTTTATGAATCACCGTTCGCAAAATTGAGAAAATTAAGATGTTCTCTGACGGTCAGACTTGATCTTCTGTTGTCTTCTGCTGAACTTCTGCAAAACTTCTTTCACAGATGCGTGATAGAAGCATTAATTTCCTGAAAAAAAAAAGAAGAAAAAAAAAAGAAGAGAAAAAAAAAAAAAGAACAACCAACAGCTTTTGCTCTGCAGCTGTGGCAACCAGGCTTTGCTCTGTCTGCACAAGCATTGCCAGGCTCCTACCCTTCCCCCTGCTCTATCTGCCCCCCAGCTATCGCTGCTGCTTTGCTAGCACAGCCTGACAGCACACCTGCTCGCAGCATTGATCTGGCTCAAAAATGCCCTCTCATTTTTTGAAAGAGGAGTCA